GTAAAATGCTTACTGTAAAAGGCCGATAAAAAAATTATTTTTGTGTACGTTTTTATGTGTTATAAGATGAGAAATAATGATTTTCTTGAGGTTGGCACGTATGTTTGATTTTTTTTTCTAATTTTTTTTCCCCTCGTTTTTTTTCCCTAGTCTATATATATAATCCTCAAAAAATGTCAATCAAATTTAGCCAATAGTTTTCTTTTAAATATTATTTGTCCAATCAAAATGATTATAGCAGTCACAGTCACAACTGTGATTTTATATAGTCAATTATTTTACCTGATAATAGTCAATTATAATTTTGTTAATATATTATGTAATATTCAACTTCTTTATTAATTATTGGACGTTTGTCCTACTTAAATAGGGTGATTCTTAATAATATTTAATTAATATTAACAAATTCGGAAGTATTTAAGTTATGTTAAATTGTAGTTTTAATCTCCATGATATTTAGCGCCATCTATAATATTATATTTTATTTTAAATAGCATTATATTTCCAAGTTGAAATGTAAATATTTTGTCTTAATTGATGTCAAATATATTGTTCTTTCTATATATCTATAATTTATCTATCTATCTATCATAGCAATTTTAAGCCAATTTAGATCATATTAGCAAAATGGATTTAATCTCCTATAAATCATGGAAAGCATTTCAGAAGTATTTTGAGGCAATAGGCAGGAAGGAACATTAGTATGAAAAAAATGATTGCAGATAATCCTACAAGAGCTAAGGAATTCAAATCTATAATATATATATTCAATAATAATCATCATAGCTTAAACATATCAAACACGCATTCATAAACCAAATCGAACCGCCATTTTCAAAAAAAGAATTTCAATACAAAAAACAATTACAAAACATATAATAATATAATAATTACAATAATTGATATTTTTTTAACAGACACAACATCGAGCAAAACCTTCAATCATCAGTAAATAATTATATTTTTTAACAGACACCACATCGAGCAAAACCATATACTTTCAATTTACACATCTTAATCTTGAAGATACTGAAAATCAAGAACAAGTTGAACAATACTGTGGGCCATTAAAATCTATTTTATTATTTTTTTTTAGATTCCTACACAAGATACCATTCAACAAAACCAAACAATGGAACGTTTCATACTACCAAAATCTAAAGAAGGCATTATTGCTTCAACAAGAGTAAATTTTATATTTTTAAGATGTGATTCCGAAATATATATTTATTAGGTGAGGGGCTATTCTAATATTTTCCATTATTTTTTATAAATATGTTTATGAAGTTATTTAGTAATTTTATTTTATGTCCACAATAATAAATATTTTAAACTAAACTTATTTTTATAAAATTGAGTAATTCTTATATTTTTAAATTTTAATAATAAATCAACATAAGGAGAAAGCTAGAAAGAGACAGGCACTTTGTCGTATCAAGAAAAGGAACGAACAAAGTCTTATTCCTAAAACATCCAACCATCTTGAAGATACTGGAAATAAACAATTTGCTTCAACATCCAATCATCTTGAAGATACTGAAAATCAAGAACAAGTTGAACTAAAAATTAGATTGCAAATCTTATATTGCTGATAAGTTTCAGCAGATAGAGGAATTATTATAATTGCCTTCCAAAAATTAAAAATACTGTGGGCCATTAAAATCTATTTTATTATTTTTTATTAGATTCTTACACAAGATACCATTCAACAAAACCAAACAATGGAACGTTTCATACTACCAAAATCTAAAGAAGGCATTATTGCTTCAACAAGAGTAAATTTTATATTTTTAAGATGTGATTCCGAAATATATATTTATTAGGTGAGGGGCTATTCTAATATTTTCCATTATTTTTTATAAATATGTTTATGAAGTATATATTTAGTAATTTTATTTTATGTCCACAATAATAAATATTTTAAACTAAACTTATTTTTATAAAATTGAGTAATTCTTATATTTTTAAATTTTGATAATAAATCAACATAAGGAGAAAGCTAGAAAGAGACAGGCACTTTGTCGTATCAAGAAAAGGAACGAGCAAAGTCTTATTCCTACAACATCCAACCATCTTGAAGATACTGGAAATAAACAATTTGCTTCAACATCCAATCATCTTGAAGATACTGAAAATCAAGAACAAGTAGAACATTACTGTGGGCCATTAAAATCTATTTTATTATTTTTTTTAGATTCCTACACAAGATACCTTTGGTGCAATATCTAAGTATAATTTTTTCAGTGATCCTATATCAATAAAAACAAATCAAGTTAAAAATTTTAATTTATGACAATAAATAAATTTATTTAAATTAGATTCCACGGATCATATTGCCGAAATGTGCCATTTAACGGACTCTTAATCTACCCAAATCAATAAAAACAAACGAAGTTAAAAAATTTAATTTATGTTATCAAATAGATTTTTTTAAAATTAGATTCCACGATATATATTACCGAAATGTACCATTCAGCAGAATCTTAATCTACCAAAATCAATCAAAATAAACCAAGTTAAAAATTTTAATTTATCTTAATAAATTAATTTTTTTAAATTAAATTCCACGAATCATATTACCAAAATGTACCATTCATTCAACAGAATCTTAATCTACCCAAATCAATAAAAACAAACGAAGTTAAAAATTTTAATTTATGTTAAAAAATAAATTTATTTAAATTAGATTCCACGGATCATATTGCCGAAATGTGCCATTCAACAGAATCTTAATCTACCCAAATCAATAAAAACAAACAAAGTTAAAAATTTTAATTTATGTTAACAAATAAATTTATTTAAATTAGATTCTACGAATCATATTACCGAAATGTACCATTCAACAGAATCTTAATCTACCCAAATCAATAGAAACAAACGAAGTTAAAAATTTTAATTTATGTTAACAAATAAATTTTTTTAAATTAGACACTACCGAAATCTACTATTCACCAATCCCTTAATCTACCCAAATCAATAAAAACAAACCAAGTTAAAAATTTTAATTTATGTATAACAAATATTTTAATAAATATAAATTTCTGAATCACATCTCATAAGATAGATAAGAAATTTTTTGATTTATCCATCATCAGGGGTTATTCAAAATTTATTATTTATTTATGAAGTATATGGTTATTAATTTTAATTTATGTCCACAATAAAAAATATATTTCATCAACTAATAAAAAAGAAAATTCTTATTTCATTATCATCTTGACCGGCAAAATATAAGATAAAATAAGTATGTGCTACATAATCGTAATTACCCATGGAATATTTTAGAAAAAATTATTATAAGCCTGGCATATGTTATTGTAACTTCAATACCGTATTGATATCATTATAGATTCAATACCGTAGTGATATATTGCTATTGTAGAATCAATACCGTATAGATTTTTAAGATGTTTGCATCGCTTCAAATATATTGGCGACCATTAAAATTATAAAATATTTATTTATTATATATTTTTTCATCGCTTTATAAATATTGGCGGCCATTTTCGATTTGTAAAAATTTTATTTAAAATAGATTTAATAGTTTTAAATATATTAAAATGATAAATATGATTTTCTATTCTTTTATATAATTTATCAGGGAATTTATTTATTTTACAATTCTTGATATCCTATATATTTTATATTTGTTTACTCATTATTTGTAATTTGTGAAGTGCTATATAATTGTTGATTCAAAGTTTTATAAATGATATTATGAATTCAAATAAATTAAATGGACCTTATTGATTGAGTTTATAAAATTTTGTGATTCATATATAAATGTCGAATCAAAGATTTATAAAAATCAATAACGTATTGATTTTTGATGGTATTGATTTTACAATTACACCGGGTCTGCAGGTCTCTGAATAATCACAAAAATATTAAATTATATGTATAATTTTTAGCAGGCCTCAAATTTATTTTATTTATTTTGGATAAATATTTCTGCACAACAATCATTAGTACAAGAACATTATTGTGGATTACTCAACACTAAGTGCGATTATTGCGATTCTCTAAATTTTTTATTGGAAAAACCCACAGATGGCAAATTTAAGAATTGCTGTCATAAGGGTAAAGTTAAGATACCATCAATCCGATATATTCCTTTTTTACAAGACCTTTTATCTAATCCTAACAATGAATTTCATTCAAACTTTATGAAATATATAAGATCTTATAATAGTTCACTTGCGTTCGCATCCATGGGAGCACAGATTTCTAATAGTTTAAACCCAGGCCCATATTGTTTTAGAGTTCATGGGCAAATTTATCACCGAACATCTCATTTATATTCTTCCACTGGGATGCCTCCTAAATTTGCACAACTATATGTCCTTGAGACCACCCAGGCTGTTAATGACAGGTTACACATGAAAGAAAATTCTGGTTGCAATGAGGATCTCTTAAAAAGATTAGATATTTTAATAAGACAGAATAACCCATTTTCTATTAGTTTTAAAACCTTGGGAGAAATTGAGAAAGAAGAAAAAAATAGGGCTATTCAAGAAAATCGTCCAGTTCAAAAAATCAATATGATTTTTCGTGCATATCGCTCAAGTGACAAGCGAAGATATAACATTCCTAATATAGATGAAGTAGCTATGATTTTTACAAATGATGATGGTGAACCCCCATTTAAACGGGATATCAAGGTCTATCCTCGAGTTGATGGTAGTGATCTGATAAATATAAATATATTAAGCCCTAATCTTGATCCAATGGTATATCCTCTATTATTTCCTTTTGGTGACCCTGGTTAGAAACCAGATTTAAAGGGTGAAGATACAGGGCGTACAAGGGCAAATATCTCACTACTACAGTTTAAAATATTTAGATTAGCAATTCGTGAAAATGAATTCAACCCAATCCCTTTTGCTGGGAAATTATCACAACAATATATTGTTGATTCCTATTTACAGGTCGAGGCGAATAATTTAAATTTTATTAGACAAAATCAGCCAAAATTATGAGTAGATGAATATTCTGGATTAATGGACTACTTGGAAACAAAGTCAAACAATATAATTCCCGGCAAAGCAGTAATATTACCATCATCTTTTCAAGGTTCTCAAAGAAATATGCGAGAAAGCTTTCACGATGCAATGGCCATTGTGCTCAAATTTGGCAAACCTGATTTGTTTATTACTTTTACATGCAATCCTAATTGGCGTGAAATTAAGGAAAATCTATTTCCCGGGCAAAGTCCTACAGATAGACCAGATTTAATAGCCCGTGTTTTTAAATTGAAATTAAATGAATTATTGTTCGATATAAATAAAAAAAATTTATTTGGTAAATCTATGGCTTTTATATATACAATCGAGTTCCAAAAAAGAGGTTTGCCTCATGCCCATATACTTATTATTTTAAACGATGATAGCAAAATTGAAACATCTCAAGCTATAGATAAATTTGTTTGTGCCGAAATGCCAGATAAAATTCTCAATCCTAAACTTTTTCAGATTGTTACCCATTTTATGATACATGGTCCTTGCATGGAAAATGGCATATGTACCAAAAAATTTCCGAAGGATTTTCAAATGGAAACAAGACCAAATATTGATGGGTATCCATATTATAAAAGGCGAGATAATGGTATTACAATTCTTTCCGGTAAACCTACGGATAATCGTTATGTTATTCCATATAATCGATATCTAATGTTAAAATTCAATGCTCATATTAACGTGAAAATTTGTACATCTATTAAATCGGTAAAATATATCTTTAAGTATATTTATAAGGGCTATGACTGTACTAATGTTGACATTAATGTTGCTTCAAATATAAATATTCATGACGAAATTAAATCACATTTAAATGCGCGATATGTGAGTGCATGTGAATCAATGTGGAGATTATTAGAAAATAATATGCATGACCGCTCGCACGCTGTTATTCGCTTAGGAATTCATTTACCTTTACAACAGCCAGTATATTTCACTGCTGGACATGAAAGAGATGCTTTATTGAGATCAGAAAATAAACATACTACTTTAACGGCATGGTTTGAGTTAAATAAGACAGATCTAAATGCTAGACAATATCTTTATGGGGAAATACCTTATCATTATGTGTTTACAAATTACCATTGGAAACTAAGAAAAAAACGATTAAATGTAATTTCGAGAATGTATTCCGTTCATCTTAATTCTGGTGAACGATTCTTCCTTCGATTATTATTACTTCATGTTTGCGGGGCTACAAGTTTTGATTATTTAAAAACTATTAATGGAATTTTAATGACTACTTTTAAAGAGGCAGCTATTAAAAGAAATTTGTTATCAGATGATAAAGAGTGGGAATCATGCTTAGAAGAGGGATCAATATATCAAATGCCGTCACAACTTCGGAGTACTTTTGCCTTTATTTGCATGTTTTGTCAGCCTGAAAATCCTGCATATCTATGGAATAGGTTCAGATTTATGATGATTGAAGATTATTTGCGTCAATATTCAGAAGTAATTGCAATAAACATGGCTTTAATGGACATTGAAAACGTTTTTCTTGATCATGGTTTATGCTGTCAAAGTTTTGATCTTCCTTCACCTACAAAAATCCCTCCAAAACAACATTATGATGCCCATGTTGAAGCTGCCGATTCAATCGAGCGTATATCTAAATTAAACCGATTACAAAAATATGCTTTTGATTTAATTATACAAGCGATTGAATTAGAAAATATTCCAGAAAGATATTTCTTCGTGGATGGCCCTGGAGGTTCAGGTAAAACGTATCTTTACAATACCTTAATGTGTTATATAAGAGCAAAAAATCAAATTGTATTGCCTTTTGCAACCACCGGCATATCCTCTATTCTTTAAGGGGGGAAGAACCATCCATAGCGGATTTAAATTACCTGTGCCTATCTTTGAAACTTCTACATCCCATATGAATTTACATAGTTCGCTAGCTCTAGATATTAAAAATAGCAAATTGATTATTATTGATGAGGCCACAATGATGACTAAACACGCTTTGCGATGCATTGACCGATTACTTAAAGACATTATGAAAAATTCCCACCCATTTGGCGGAAAAATAATTTTATTAGGTGGTGATTTTAGACAGACTTTACCAGTAGTGCCTAAAGGCTCCAAAGTCGATATTATAGAGTCCTGTATAAAAAGTTCATATTTATGGAGTCATTTTAAAATAATACATTTGATTGATAATATGCGTATTTCATCAGATCAAGTTGATTACAAAGCTTGGTTACTTAAAATTGGAGATGTGCTATCACGCAGCAATTCTGATCTTCCTACAAATAGTTGAAATCCCACCTTATTTGCTTGAAAATGATTCATTAATAAAATGTGTGTATGGTAATTCTATAGAAATTGCTGATATAGATAGTCTTTCTACTAAAATAATATTAACCACCAAAAATAAAATTGCACTTACCCTCAACAACGATATCATTAATATAATTTCAGGCCCTATCAAACATTATTATAGTGCAGATTCCATTGAAAGCGATAATAAGGATGATATAATGAATTTTCCACTAGAATTTTTGCATTCACAAACTCCATCCGGTATGCCACCTCACAAGCTAACACTTAAGGTTGGTACAATTGTTATGCTATTACGCAACTTGAGCCCAAAGTAAGGACTTTGTAATGGTACCCGTTTAATCATACGACATTTACATATTAATTTTATCGACGCTGAGGTATTGACAGGCACTAATAAGGGTTATCGAGTTTTTCTCCCACGAATAGATCTAGCTCCAAGTGACTCTCAGTTACCATTTACTTTAAAAAGACGACAGTTTCCTATAATTCCCGCTTTTGTGATTACAATAAATAAAAGTCAAGGACAAACTTTTGATCATGTAGGCTTATTCCTCCCAGAGCCCGTCTTTGCCCATGGACAACTATATGTGGCTCTTACTAGATGTAAATCTCAAAATAATATGAAAATTATGATTTTGCCATCAGAATTACAAGGAAAAATTTTAAAAAATGATAAAACATTCACAAAAAATATCGTATATAATGAAATCTTAAATTCATAATTTGTAAGAAATTTAAAAAGTCACCAACTTTGTTATTCACCATCAAATCACCAACTTTACATCATCTTCAAAAACTAAACCACCTTGAGCAAAGAAAAGAGAACTTCTTCACCATCGCTAAACCATCTTCCTCACCAAAAACAGTATATTCTATTTTATAATTTCAATTTACACGTTTTATTTCAGGTTATTTACAGCAAACTACGAGCAAGAAAATCACAACATCATCTTCAAAAACGAAACCACCTTGAGCAAAGAAAAAACAACTTCTTCACCATCGCTAAACCATCTTCCTCACCAACAACAGTATATTCTATTTAATTTCAATTTACACGTTTTATTTCAGGTTATTTACGGCAAACTACGAGTAAGGAAATCACAACATCATCTTCAAAAACGAAACCACCTTGAGCAAAGAAAAGAGAACTTCTTCACCATCGCTAAACCATCTTCCTCACCAACAACAGTATATTCTATTTTATAATTTCAATTTACACGTTTTATTTCAGGTTATTTACGGCAAACTACGAACAAGGAAATCACAAAATCATCTTCAAAAACGAAACCACCTTGAGCAAAGAAAAGAGAACTTCTTCACCATCGCTAAACCATCTTCCTCACCAACAACAGTATATTCTATTTTATAATTTCAATTTACACGTTTTATTTCAGGTTATTTACAGCAAACTACGAGCAAGAAAATCACAACATCATCTTCAAAAACGAAACTACATTGAGCATAAAAAAGAGAACTTCTTCACCATCGCTAAACCATCTTCCTCACCAACAACAGTATATTCTATTTTATAATTTCAATTTACACGTTTTATTTCAGGTTATTTACGGCAAACTACGAGCAAGGAAATCACAACATCATCTTCAAAACGAAACCACCTTGAGCAAAGAAAAGAGATTGAAATCTCCCTTTTTAGGTAAAATTTTCTATATTATAAAATTTATTATATTATATTTTTTATATGGCTACAAATGCATATGTGTTGTAACCCGATAATCATCAACTCTTGAAGTATAAATATTTATTTTATTTTCTAATAATTCATATCTTTGTCTCTTTTTTTCTATTTCTTCCTTCTTATTTTCATTCTTTTTTTCATTTCTTTGCTCCCCTAAAATCCATCTCCTACCTTCACGCGGTGGGGAGTGAACAGTTATTCTGACTAACAGGAGCTCTGGTAAATAATGTTAGTTTTAGGGTGCTAATAAGAGATATTGTTTCATTTTTGTAATTTAAAATATAAATTTCGAAATCACATCTCATAAAAAGGAAAATGTCTGATTCATCCATCATCAAATAAAGGTAAAATATATTATTCATCAATCATTGAATAATAAAGACAATTCCTCTCTCTTAGTCTTAATGGGTTGGAATTGGCCTGAAGGAGGAGGGGGAGGGGTAAAAAGAATTATCGTAAAAGAACAAATAAAATTCTCATCCCCGTCATTTTTGACGGGTTATCAACTAGTTTATATTATAATGGTCCATGTATTCTCGGCCAGGCCATAAAAGGGAATGTGAAATGTTGTTGTTAAAATAAAATGAAAAGGGAAAGATGGTAGAATGAGGCCTGGTTGAGGTTGTAATTTAAAATTTTTTTTTTATAAAATTTAATTAACAAAAGTTTAATTTTTTTTTAAAGTTCCCCAAATTTGTAATTTAAAAATTGTATTAAAAAAAACCAGTTTAATTATTTATTTTTTTAAATTCCCCAAAATTTTAATTTAAAAATTATATAAAAAAAATTTGTACTGAATTTATTCCGTCTCCAATCACGAAAAATTTTTTCCTTGTACTGAATTTATTCCTTCTCCAATCACGGAATTTTTTTGCCTAGTTTCAAATATACAAATTAACAAACCACAATCACATAATGACCATTGATACCCCTGATGATCCATGATGATATACATAGGACGTAAATGTAGACAAATGAAGATCAAACCATTGCACGCTATGAATGTGATAGGATGAGGAACTTGTTTAACAGATTACAGTCTTAACCAGTATATGATATCCCTATAGCATACCTCTGTAGGACCATGAATATTCAGTATTCTATTGATGTAATGAGAATTCATAGTACTATCCTAACAAGTTATATGATGGTGTCCATATAGTCTACATTTGGAGGACCATAAATATTCAGTATTCTAGGGATGTTTTTTAATAAACAAGAGGCATAGTAAAAGAAAAAAATTCTCGTATTTGCGTAACATTATCTATTTTATATAGTAAATATGATATATATTTTTTTCAATTTGTAGGCATGCCATTGGCTCATAAAGGGGTGGCATGTCGTATTTGTATATACGGATATATATGTTTATTACGCGAAATGCCAATCAACCGATTTAAATAAGGTTGATTGGATTGTAAAAAAACATGTGATAGGATATATATTTTTTTTCCCACAAATTATTATAAAAGTATGGATTAGTTTTTTTTTTTATGGAGTGATATTTTTAATTTATTAATAAAAGAATTGATTATAAAAAAAGATTTCAGAGTGATTAATTTTGGGTTAGCATTAGAACAATAATTTATTTAAAAAAGGATTTCAGAGTGATTAATTTTAGGTCTGCATTGGATAAATAAATTTTTCAGTGGTGCCGGTAAAAGATTTGTAATTTTTACTGATCACAAACCGTTAATCCACTTATTCCGGAAGGACAATCGGGAGTTAATGATGTCTCCCCGGTTAAAACGTTGGTTGTTGTTGGTGGGCAGCTTTAACGTGGAGATCCGATATCGTCGAGGTAAAGAGAATTGTTTGCCTGATATTTTGTCCCGATTAGGATTAAATGAAAGAAATGATGAAGGGAATAAGGATAAGGTTCGGGACAATGAGAAAGCATTGGTGTGTTAGCTTTCGCATATGCTACGAGGAGGTTCTACCAACTGGGAAGAACTTAAAGTCAGTACTTTAAAAGATAAAGAGCTGAGTCAAATAAAATTATATTTAACGGGGGAAAAACCGTGGGAAAATAATAGTAAAAATTTTAAAAAAATTGAAAGGGAATTGTCAATTGTTGATGATTGTGTAATGAGGGCAAATAGAGCGATAATTCCTTATAAATTACGTGGCAAAATTTTGAATTTAATACATGCGGGGCATCAAGGTCGGGCACAGATGAATTTTGAGGGAATCCCATGTCAGCATAGGAAAGTATTCGTGGAGACTGAGGTAAGCAAATGAACTTCTCCTCATATTTTTTTTTGTGAAATATGTATTAGATATTTTTTTTTAGATATATTTTGAATGCATTTTTGTTTTTGTTGTTATATATATATATAGGCGTGCCAGGCCCATAAAGGGTTGGCATGTCCTATATTCATGATAATTAGATGTAACCATAGTTTATAGATATATATTTTTATATTACAACACGTCAATCATATAATCACGTGGTGTTTTTTTTATATATAGTTTATATATAACATAGAAAGAGGGGATATATTGATTATTAAATTTTTGGTAAAATTTATTTTCGAAAATGATTATTGTATGTTTTTATTAAATAAAAAAGAAGTTCTCGTCTTATAATTTTATCTATTTCGATATAGCTTTAGAACGTCTTTGATGAGGTACGCAATTTCGGGTAGTATTTTGAGTAAATAAAATTAAGGGTGAAAGAAAGGGGTTTTTATAATAAGATTGCTAGAAATTTATAAGTAACGTTATTAGCCTAAAAATTGGCTAAACCTAATTAGGCTTAGCCGAAAGATCGCTTGGCACTATTTAGACAAAATGTAGGCACTAAGGTTATGCAAAAATAAGCCTAGCCTTATTTATTATATATTCATATTTATTAAAATTATTATTATATAATTATTTTATATATATTTATTATGTAACGATATATTATGCCTAATTTTTGTCTAATTATTTTTCTCCTATTTTTATGCTAAGCCGTTTTTGAATATTCTAAAATTAACAAATTACACAAAATTCTACACTTATTGGTGTTTTTCTGGCAAAATCAGATTTTTAAATTTAATAAAACTCACTCAGTTAATGATTTTAAATGTAAATAATAACAAAAAATAAAACAATACCCATCAAATCAAAATTAAGTTTAGTTAAAAGATCACTTGAATACTGTATGATATTCGTAGGGTAGGCACCAGGGCTGGCTGGATCAGTTTCTGTCGAAATTATCATAGGTTCGAAAATAATTATACCTTGGGGGGTGGGTAGCTTCTTAATAAAAATTTTTTTCGATTAAAGCAATATTTCTAATTCCCAGCATAACATAAGGATTTTTATGACCTATGCTTCCTAAGAAAGATATCTTACTTTGCTAATATATTTTTTTTATAGGGCCTTGCTTTTGACTGTAGAAAGTGGAATTATAGATAATAAGTTTGCTTCTGCTTATTTAATTAATATAATATCCGTCTATACTTGCTTTTAAAACTTTTTAATATGTTTCTCTATCCATTTATAAAATTTTTGTTTTTAATCGCATAACTAGAAAAAAGACCCATCAGGAATAACAAGAATCAATAGGAAATCATCATTATATTGTTTTCCCAATTCCTGAGTCACAATAATCGCAATTTCATTATCAGAGATTAAATGAATTAAGTTCTCAGATGTGTTGCCATTCAATTCTACAATCTTATGATGCTGAATATTGTTTTATGTCTTGCGATAAACTTTGGCCTTATCCTTTTGATTAAGCAATAAGAAAACACTTTATACAAATTTATTATCAAAAAATACTTATCACAATAGTAATCCCTCACTAATTAAAATATAAATGATTTTCGAGGGCTAATTATCTGTTTGGCTCAAAGTTTTAAATAAGACTTTCCTTAGCACCTTGCAAATTTAATTTATTTTAGCAGAAGCTCCATCAAAAATCTTTATTTATTTTAAATTTTAGGTCTTCCTGTCCCAAATTTAATTGAAAAATATAACTAAACGCATATTTAAACAAAAAATAATATAAAAATAATTTCTTTACCCTTATCCTAAAAAATCTATTTATTGCTTAGATTTTTTAAATATATTTTGAGTTAAAAAAATTAATAGCCTTAGCCCTATTTTCAAAAATAATAATTTCCAGGTTCAACCAAGTCTGTCTAAAGGCTGATAAATATAAAATTGTAATTTTCATCAAACTCCATTCTCGATATTGCAACTGAAGTAATTCATTTAAGATAATGCATTCGAGATAATTCATTCGCTAGAATGCATTCTCGATAATGCTTTCGAGGTAATACATTCGCGATAAAGCTTTTGCTGCAATGCATTCGCGATAATGCTTTCGCTATAATACATTCGCGATAACACTTTCGCGGTATTATATTAGCGCTAATGCATTCGCTTAAATATTTTCGCTGTATCATATTCACTATAATACATTCGCGGTATTCGCACGCAATATTCGCGATTCTGTTTTCGTAATCATGCAATTCGCGATAATGCATTCGCGGTCATACATTCTCGATAATTTTTTGCGATAATGCAATCGCGATACTGTTTTCGCTATGATGCATTCGCTATATCTTTTCGCGGTAATCGAAATTCGCTGTAATGCATTCGCGATAATACATTTCTCGCTAAAATTTTCGCGGTATTGACATGTAACCATTAATTATGTGTGGTTAAAAGGGGCATAGGTTATCTTAAATATTCAAGTTTACAATATTGCTACCTTTATTAAAAGCTGCCTAAGGTGGCATGGGCAATAGATTTAAGAAAATATTTTC